GACCCGCCCTGATTCTGCCGTGCAGAGCGGCACCCCAGGCGTGGGGAGCAGGTCCGAGTCCGTGTGGCGGTCACGGGGGGCCCGGCTCATCCCCCTCACCGGTGCAGCCGGGGGTTCCTCTGAAGAGCCCCAGGGCGTCACCGTTGGTCACCGTCGCAGGCAACTTCCCCGTCCTCCATTTCACCGCACAGGAACGGCCCCCCCGCCCCCGGCTGCATGTGTGAAATCCCGCCTGAAGCAGCGCTGCCGCCTGCATGGGCCGCGATTATCAAGCGATGTTAATTGCTGTGAATGACTGCCTTTATTCATTCTGCCAGTTTTTGTGCCATCTGCAAAAATCTGTATTTTTTTTAGCAGCGGTAATTTTACACTTCAAGCTGACGGGTGAAAGTATTGAATAGCGTGAAGAGGAGTACTTACCCATTCAGAAAACACTCGAGAGACACCCCCATTTAACCGTGATTCATCACAGACAACTACTACAAGCCATTTCAGTTGAAATCTTAATCCATTTAATTCACACTTTTCTACTATGTAGTGTTTTAATGCAGATTGTCAGCTTAAATGAAACACTTTTGACAGCTCCAGTATTACATCCACAAGCTATTCACAACCGAAGTTGCAGCTTCAAAGAACTGAAAGCAGAACTTTCAAGTAATTTTCCATGGTAAAGTTATGAAAACTGGCATTATTTTAACTTCTGCTCCTCATGAGTAACGTCCTGCACTCAGATCCTTTTATTTTACACAGACTTGATGCCAAGCTAATGGCCCTACAGCTATTTTAAGTCAACTCATTTGCCACCTTTCAGTATTGATGAGCTATCAAACCTATTTTTGCTTTCTCTAATCTTCAAAATACTTTAACAGGTAATGAAAAATTATAACCATAGATTTCTGTACCCAACCATCCAGAGATTCTCAATATAACAAACTTGAGCTTGTGGATTTGAAAATAAACTTTACTTCCTAGTCACCACAAGATTGGAAAATGGCTCACCTGTATATGTGATAGATGTTTAAATACTGCTTTTTCAAAGGACAAAGATAAAATATTAAGTAGTTCTGCCTTTGAGCTGGTCATCTCTTCCAGAATGAACCTTCACAGATGACCTTTGTTCTCAAGACTTGAGAGAATTTCTACATGTAATTAGGTATCCTAGTTTTGTGTAGATCTGCTTCTACCTGTACAGCTTGGGTATAGACAATTTTAACAAATTTAAGATCTCAGCTCTGTAAAACTCTGTCTACCACCGTTTAAGTTACATATATGTAATTTAAGATTAAATAAGATACTCAGTGTCTTCCATGTGATTTACAGAGCTAGCAGCAGTGTTTATAGTGGGTGGCTTAGTTGGGTTTTGTTTTGGTTGTGGGGTGGTTTGTTGTGGGTTCTGGTGGTGTTGCCACTGTGCAGCTATTAGAATATCGTGTTCACCTTAAAGCACATTAGCAGAAACACCCAATTTCTAACCTGGGGGCTTGTGACAGATGTCACAAACTATCATTGGTATTATATACCCTTTATTTAGGATGCTATGACACTATGGAGGGAGGTGTGGGGGAGGGATCCCAGCTTGGAACCATGGAGAAGTGTAAAGCTCATGTTGTTATACGATCTACAGTGAAGTATTATGAGTGCATGTCCTCTTTCAGAGCTCATGTTTTGCATTAGTTTCCTCCACTCTAGCAGCAGAATTAATACCCTGAAAACAAACTCAGTTATTAAAAAAACCAACCAAACAACAACTATCTGTAAGGTCTTCTAGCACCATTCTACTACTATTTGACTTTTTCAGTCATTAAAGGATAATCAATTACCATACAGGATCTTTTAATAGTGGAGGGTTTATTTATTGATTGATAAATACAATATCCAGTCTCACTGGGACAATAAGGCACAACTTTAGGTTACAACTATATAGCCAGAAGAGAGCAACATCTACTTTTAAGCAGATCACAAAGCCTACAGACACATTTTTACTTTTCAATCTGTCATCGTTACATCCCTATTTTACATGACATGGTCATAAAACTGTAATGTTTCTTTCTCAGACATCTCTTTCTGGAATTGTGCTGCACTCTGCAAAACAATGAAGTCCAACATTTCACTTGGCAATTCCTTAATTTAAAACAAGTCAAAAATCCTTCAGAGACTTGCATATTATTCTTTAACACAAGAGACCATTAAAGGAACCGAGAAAAAAAAAGGAAATGCACATTTGAGGGTGGTTTGAGACTGGCAAGTATTTATAGAAATGTTAACACACGACAGACACACAGTTTTAACACTGATTCTTCAATAAAGAAGCTCCCACGTTTTTTGGTTTTACTGGAAAGAGCTCTCCGACTGTAGGATGCTCCAGCTGAACTAGTTAAGATCATCTGTCAAACTAGCCACAGAAAATTATGTTATCAGTGAGCCTTCAATAGTTTTCTCTCTTGAATTTATCAGCATTATATTAATGGTATTAATCATCTCACACTTGCAAAGAGATTTGCATAGAAATATGTTCAGAAATATCTAGGATAATACATACTTCCCCAAATTACTTCTGGCTCTCACGCCAGAGCTTTCATAAATACAGCTACCACTCTCAACACAAATCTAACAGACCAGGACTTCCACAATGGAAAAATGTAAATAATTACCGATTATCCAGGCCACTGTGATTTAAGAGGGAAAAAAAAAATCAGTACTGTGTTTCATGACAGCATTACCAGCGGGCAGTGGCAGAACTACAAATTTTGGCATGACCAGTTTTCTTGCATTATGTACACTGGTAAACAAGTTTATAGTTTCAAAGGCAAAACCACTTTGATGAATGGAGGGATCCTAGAGCAAAGCAACCTGGAGAGGGCACTTCATCGTCCAGAGACTGTCAACCCTGCAAGCTACTCAAAGGGAAAAAAAAACAAGTTTCTGCATCTGCTACTGGAACAATTTAAAGTGACTTGGAGCAGAATTCTTATTCCTTCTGAGAACACCACAGGCCGTCTCCACCACAGATTCTCTATTGTCCCTGTGAATTCATCCCACAAAGAATAAAATCTATTCACTGTACTCTGAAGTACTCAAGGCGATCATCATGCATTCAGTGGTAGTTGTACAATGAAGCCATAGGAATTGAACAGTCCTCAAGTAAAAGGCAGATCTGGAAGCAGGGAAGACAAATCTACACGTAAAGAGCCAAATCGGAAAGAAAAAAAAAGGCAGCAGTAATGTGGTATGGCTGCTGGAAGGAAGAGTGAATCATTATCAATGCACCTAGTATTTCAGTAGATGGTTGTATCCGAAGTGTTTCAGAGGGCACTTCTGTTCCCATCCTCAGATTCAGAGCTCAGAAGAATCAGTTTGTAGATTAAACAGCAGTACATAAAGAGAGACATTTTTGCTGAAACAGTAGTGCAGAAGGACACAAGGGAGAAAGGATAAAAAAAATGGAAGGAATAGATTTTTAAGAAAAGCTCCTTTCCAAGTTGCACGGCAGCCATTTCCCTTTGTTCCTGATGCACAGGGAATGTTCACATTGGTAGAACAAACCAGGGAGGGGTTGGAGATCTATTGTATATGCACCAGTAGCAATGCTCCGGGGAAGGTGCTAAGGAGAAAATGAAGTTCTATTCATTATATAGTAGGGGTAGAAAGGAGTAAGTTGTCCATCCATCAGTGAAGAAATCGAATGCTCATTTTCTGCTCTACATCCACCTTCTCCAAAACCTGCAATAAAATTCAGAAACAGCTACTTAAGTTATACTGTACATACTTCTTTCCTACAAGGTTTCTTACTCTAGTGTAGAGGAAATGGGCAGAACATGGGATGTGAAGACATTTGGCATGCCAGTCTTTTCATTCAGAGAGTGCTATTTTTCATTCTGGACTAAGGTCCTTCCAAGGAAAGGAACTTCAGCCATTAAAGCTGGAAGGCTGTCAACCAAAAATGTAGCTAATGCAGTTTCAAGTCTGCCAACAGCCCAGAAAGGCTTGGATGACCAAAATGAGACTGTGGGAAGGCATGGCCAGAAAACAAAGGAGAACGGTAGAGCAGTCATTGAAGAGCTAAAATGAAGACTACACCATCACTGATGTAGATCATTGTAAAACTGAGGTGGCAACTTCATTCTCTGAATTGCTGTCAACAAGGACATCAGTCTGCTCCACGTTGTTTCAGGCAGCAGACTTCAGTGCTCCAAAATCAGTGGAATTTAAGTTTGAAGAAACCTCTGGAAGTCTTTTAGTCCAACTTCCTCAACTCCTGCTTAAAGCAGGACCAGCTAGATTGGGTTGCTCAGGGCCATGTCCAGCTAAGTTTTAACTATCTCCAAGGAAGGAGGTTCTACATCATCAACACCTATGATCATCCTCTTAGTAAAAAGTTTTCCTTATGGATAACAAGAGTGTCACATGTTGCAACTTGATTCTGTTGCCTCTTGTCCTGTCTCTGCCCACCTCCAAGATGCGCCTGGTTCCTCTTCTCAGCACCATCCCATTAGGTAGCTGAAGTTGTTCTCTATAGGACAACTTTCTTCACTGACTATACAATGGCTCCTTACTATTCCCTATCTCTGACTAACAAAAAATGTAATTCAAAGGACTACAGATAGGAACTTGAATACTAACAGACAAAGTCTCCATGTGAAAACTGATCAGCTCAATTACAGCAGAATTACTCTGTAGAAACTGTACTAGTCAGGCCACTTGTGTGGAAAGAAGTGGCTGCAAAAGAAAAAAAAAGTGAAAATTCTGCAGTATACTCTTACATAAGCTACAGCACTGAAACATATGGACTAATTATTAGTACCTTGACAGTATATAAGAAAAATGTCCTTATGAAGGGGGGTAAGGAAAAGAGCTAGCAGGTTTGCTTTGCCCAAATGCAGGCAGGTGGGGCTATTTGAATGACTTCTCTCTGATTCCATCTGCACTTAAGTCTGAGTTATTTGCCCATTACTGAGCAGTTTCATTGAGTCATTAGAAATGGAGTTCACCAACCTTTACAAACTCCGCAAAGGAGATGGCGCTATCCCCATCTAGATCAGCTTCCTGGATTGTCCTGTCAGCAATGCTGCCCAGCTGCTCATCTGAAATGTTTACACCAACCATCATCCGTAACACCTGTAACATACAGAAGTCCCCAGATATTTTTTAAAAATAATAAAACAAAATAACCATTACTGACATAAGAACAGAAGTGTTCTTAGTGCTGTTTTTTCTCATGCATACTGTCAAAATAACACCATACAAGAACGACCCTGGAGGATTTCCATGAAAGTCATTTCTAGACAGATTTGTTTGTCCTTTGCAGATGAAGGCTTTCAGGAAAGACAGCTTCCTTCTCTAGCCACCTTTGATAAAGAATCCTGCTTTTTCACTAGGCAGCAGGAAGAGGTACAAGCATAAGAAAGCTTTTGAAACTAGGAAAGAGTTAAGTTTTATTCCGATGCTTTTGTCTATTTTTTTCCCCACAAAACATACTAACATTTGATTGAATATTGTTTGAGACAGTTGCCTACAGGAATCTTGTAAGTACGTGGTCAAATAATAACTGCCATTACTCTCTACACTTAGTAAAGCATTTTCTGTGCAGATAGAAGAGGGCAGTTTCAGACAAAACCAGATCCTTGTCTAGATCAGGAACCACAAATTGCCATGTCTACTTCCCAGGATTAGTAGCATATAATTACTCCTAGCTCAAGCCTAGTTTCATGTATATGCACGATTGATGAACTTTGACTGTTGCAATTTCAAGGAGTTTTATTCCATTAGTAAATTTTTTTATTTTTATTTTTTAGAATTATTTGGTCAGGCAAACAACCTAATCCACCTCAAGGACTGTCCCTGTGATGCCCTATTAGAAGCACCTTCAAAAGTTATAAAAGGTAGTTCTTAAGAATATGCTCCTTAAGGAACATATTTGTTGGATATTTAGGTACCATTTCCAATAGGATCTGCTTAGCCTAACACTCTGGTTTAAACGTCAATCTAGCATTCCCAGACTGATAGAACAGCCTGGGCTACCAACTGAGATTAAAGTCTCATACCACGTCTAAAGCTTTAAAACAGAGATAAGCAATTAGCCACCAAACTCCTTCAAGAGTTCTTTTCAAAAGACTGTTATAATTCCCCTCTTCATTCGAAATGGGTGTAAAATCACAGAGAAGGCCACAATGGAGTAATTCAAAGCAGCCCTGTGCTATTTACCTGAAGCAGCTCATCCCTGGAAATCTTGTCATCTTTATCTAGATCATATAACCGAAAAGCAACTACAGGGAAGAAAAGAATGAGCAGTTAATTATTTTTCTTCATAACAAGACATTTGTCTAAAAAAAAAAAAAAAGCAAAACCCAACCCAAACAGTAGGTATTCATAAATAATTTTAAGAGAATTAGCTTAAAAATTTTATTCACCGTAAAATTCACATGCAGGTCCATGAAGTGTTGTTACTGCATAGAGGAATAACATTATTGCCACAAAGTGAAAAATCTTGTGTAACTGCTCAGTATGAGTACTTTCAGAAGCGCTCTGCTTGCAGAGGTATTTCTTCAAAGCCTCAAGTCAGGGAAGTATAATTACCACTAAGATACATTCAATCCTTTAACTGCAGAACCAACCATTTTTACACTACCTCTTTGACTACATTCTGGATAAGCTATGACAGACTGTTGCCAACTTTGATTAGTGAGCAAGAGCTTTCTGTTCATACTGTAGGTGGACATCCAAATACTCAAGAAAGTACACAGCTGAAGGCGAGGAAAAAGCACTATACTATGTGGAAGACTGGATAACGAAAAGCCCATTCAAGTATGAGATGCGGCTTCTAAATCTGAAATAACTTTGGATGCAAACCATTTCGAAGCACTTCTGTTATAAGACATTTCAAAAAGCATACACCTTACTCAAGGTTAAACCAATTCCAATACAAGAATGGGTCAATTGTTGACATTCTGAACAAGTAGACTTGCAATTTAAAAAAAATAAAATGAAAAAAAATTGGATATTGGAGGATATAATTCCACAGGTAAAGGCCATACAGAAGACCCCAAGCTCCTTCACTCCCTTCCCTGAAAAACAACAAAATAAAACAAAACCCTTCCACTATAGGAAGGTTCACATTTCTTACAGTGGAGCTTGTTATGTCGGCTGTTCAGTGGTTCTGGTCCATTCTGGTCTCTGCTCTTTTCATTATCTTCAATGGGTCGGAAGTGGGCTAGCGTCCTCATGAATCCACGGAAATTCACCTGGTCCTCTCTGCGTAAGCATTTCAGCTGGTCAGTTTTAGCACAGCTTATACAAGTTTTTCATTCTTCTACCTCCCCAGGGTTTGGGTGTCTGTGCTCAAACCCAGCTCAGATACAGTGCAGCCACCACCTGGGATTATGCTACTGTGAAGTACGATGCGTGAAAAAAAGAGGTGAAGTCTCGTTATGGGCTCCCTTCCCCTTGCCTGCAAGCTCTAAGCTCAAGCCCTCACCCTTGGCCCTTGCCTGAGCTATCCTGCAGCTATGCCTGAGACAGGCAATGTATCTTGCTGATCTGGATCCCGATTCCCTGGACTGACCTGAGACTTCACCACTGTCAACTTATGTGGCAAGCACTAGACTGCTGGCTGACGTGGCAACAGTCACTACCTGCTCTGCTCTTCTTGTTCAGGTGCTGTGCCCTTTGTCAGGAAGTACATCACCCCTGTCAGCTTTGCTGTCACTTTTGCCTCCAGCCTGTGGGGAGCCATTGCTCAAATAGCTCTTCTCTAGAGTTTCTGTGGGAACGAGCTACGTCAGTACTTTCCAGGACTCCTCCTTTCTATTCAGGAAATCCTGCCTGGTATTAGCTGATGCTGTGACTTGAACAATCTGATCTTCATCAGTCAGTAATGACTAATGTGTTCAAGAACAGCAGCAGATCCCATAGCACAATCTAGAGAGGTATAATGAAGTGAGACAGTACTGCAAATTTGGTCATTGCTTCGGATTTATGTCAGAAGTGCCATAAGCTATATCTTAAATGTGACCAAAAATGAAAAAAACAAGCAAAAAATCTGATCTAATAACAAAGGTACACTTAAGAGGCTAAAAGGTGAAAAACAAGACTGAATTAGTTAAATTACTATACTACTTAGCATAAAATAGTATTGCTACAAGTCTGCTTTCAAGAACCAAAGCCCATACATGCCCTTAACTTTCTTTATTAGTGTTCAGCAGCATAGCAAGAAGAGTAGAAAACTGACAAGAAACCAAAATTTTGTAAGGTTGTGAAGTATTTTTCATTAAAATGAAACATGCTGAGGAGAAATGTACCCATATGCATTTCATGATAAGTTTGAGGTGTTTAATTACTAGCAAATTAAAATTCCATGCTTTAATTATCAGCATTTCACTCCTATCCAAACTTCTGACAAACTACAGGTTTTGTGCCTGCTCACAGATCCAATCCATTGGAACTCACCCTTCTGGAAAGAAGGCATTGATAATTCTGTCTCCCAGTGGATTAATGGCAAGCTCTGGAATCCTCTGGAAGTCTTCACGGCTAAGGAAAGCAAGAGCACAGGAAGTCTGCATGAAGTGGAAGTGTAGGAGAGAAAGTTGCTTAAAAAGAATTCACAGTAAGACATCCACTGGGTTCTCTTTCTGCAACAAGACACTTGGTTGGTAAAATGTAACTCTTGAAATCACATTTTCTCTATGACTAATGGCACAAAGGAAAGCTAAAGACAATGCCAAGCCCGTACCACATTACGAACTAGCAGTGTTCATCTATCATGTTAACAGCAGTTCTCAGATGCTAATATTGTTTGTGCTAGAAACCTTCCTGTAATGATGCTGACTAGTTTGCAGTTTAAGGAAAAGAAAGCTTCTGAGTTGGCTTTGAAGGAAAATATGGCTTCAAAATGAAAACAAACTTTTTCTTATTTTTAAGTAGTATTTTGGTACTGAATCATTTGAATTGACGTGGTTTTTTTCCACTCTACCCCATTCCAGATTCTGGCACAGTAAAATACTCCCCCAAACACACCTCAGGTGATCTGCATATTCTAACAGAAAGTTTTCTGTTTATACAACAATTTTATTACTATAAAGGCCAAATTTCAGATTATTTCCGCTTCAATCAAGCCGCACTATTTCAAAGCAGTAAACTCAGACTACGACAGGGGTCTACACGCTAGATGTAACTTCACCAGTACACTGCAGGTACTCACTGCTCTTGCTAGCCATTCTCCTTTCTGCTTATGATTATGATACGTACATGGTACAGTGTAAGCATAGCTATGCTTACATAGTTACAGCTTTTTCTGATCTGGAAGACATCATGACCTGCACTGATATAAACATACTTTAGATCAATATGGCATGAACACAGGGTTTATTCTACTCTTATAGTTGCACTAATGATTTTTATTTTCTTTCAACCTAATACAACACCACTGACAGGATAATCTTGGTCTGACCAAGGCAGACAAACCAAGCGTGTCTTAGTGACTGCTTCAGTCAACAGGTTTTTGTTTGTTTTCATGTGGTTATTTGTTTTGGTTTTGGGCTGGGTTTTTTCCACACTACAACAGAGCACAGCAACTTATTAGTTACCATAAGATATACTCTGTAATCATTTAGCTTTTAAATTGCAAAGATAATGGGGAAAAGCTCTAAAACAAATAAAGTTAAAAAAAAAAACCTTATTCTTTCTGAATGCATAACTTGTCATTTCCTGCCCAGTCTCCAGAAATATTGGCAATTCCCCTCAAGCCAAACGTAGTCCTGCTGTTTTTGAGGTCTGGGTCAAAGTCTCAGGCCTGGTTACTACAATTTGCTATTTTTGAAAACTCTGCTCTCTAAATGAATCAGCAACAAGGTTCAACTCATGATGTTATCACACCAAAAACCTGTCAGAGTAAACATGAACAGATTTCGACATTATTTAAATATACTGGCCTTTTATAATACTTGGATCTTAAAGACGGGGGGGGGAAGGAACTGGCTAGCCTTATTACTAGCCTAGCCTGGGAAAGGCACAGAAGCAAGACGTTCTAGTTTTAAATGCACTCTAAAGCACTCCAAAGCACTCCTTGCACCCATCCACACCCCAGCACTGTTCAGAGTCCCAATTAAACTTTATCTGTTACAACGTGGTTAAACTGTTTGACCTTCTAATAGAGCAACCTGACCAATTTTCAGGCTCTCTCAGCAAACTTCTACTCCGGCCATGTCTGAATCTTTTTTAACAGGCAAAGTTAACATCTGCATAACATGATCAGCTTGTTACCATACCCTTCAGGACTGCTGCATTTTAAGCTATAGCCAAAGGGCAAAGTATGTATTAGTGATTCAGGTAGGACATGTAGTGATGTGGAAAACCTATGTCCTAGTAACAAAATTTTAACGACAGGCCTTCAATGTCAATGCTACATTTACAAGTTAAAAGCAGGAACTGCCCTCACCTCCACTTATAGCAAAATCCTAATGCTTCAGTAATTTTTACTTGCCTATCACTATTTCTTAGTATTGAGCCTCAATTTACACTCTGCATTTCAGCCTCCAGTTATTCTGCTTTCTAACAGAGATTAACAATTAACCACAAATAACTCCCCAGGTTTCAAATCTATTAGTCTTGCCATTATCAGGATTGCAGCAGACCACTTTTGCTTATTAAGAGCACATTACTGAGTGAGTGTTATAACTGAAATAGCTGTAACAGCCATAAAAGTAAATGAATGCATGATGTAAGTTATTCTCCACTTATAAACTAAGGCTTCCTGCAGTCATTAGGGACCAACTTCACCTGGCTGAGGCTGGAGCTTACAGGAAATTTGATGCCCTCTGCTTCTGTGTTCATGTGCCACAGCAACATGGCTCTTCTAACATACCTTTCCAGGAATCTAACTTCTATTAAAACCTGGCTTAAATGTAACATACAAAGCAACCTTTACCTGCATGTTATCATTGTGATATCACTTAGACATACTTTGCAGTAAGGAATTTATGTATTCTAATTAAGTATTTCTAAGTATGAGTATGTTTCACCTTACTCCTCTCCATCCTCCCAGTTATCTGTGTTGAATTAGCAACTTGAAACAGTTCAACTTCTATTAAAACCTGGCTTAAATGTAACATACAAAGCAACCTTTACCTGCATGTTATCATTGTGATATCACTTAGACATACTTTGCAGTAAGGAATTTATGTATTCTAATTAAGTATTTCTAAGTATGAGTATGTTTCACCTTACTCCTCTCCATCCTCCCAGTTATCTGTGTTGAATTAGCAACTTGAAACAGTTCAAAAAAAACTTCAAAACTCTAACAGGAGCATGGCTGACAAAGAGGTGCTGGGAGCCTGGAGAAATGAGAAAGAGGATGAACAGCCTCCTCTTTCACAGCTGTGTCAGCCATCTCACGTAACTTCATCCTTACACACTGTCTACAGAAATTTTAAAAGTTGCTTAACTACTGGAGGAATAATTGGTTTACAAACATGAGGCTAAGAAGTATGCTAAAAGTAAATGTCATAATAGATGAGCAATAGGGGGAAGGGAAAGAAAAAAAAAAGCAGTGTGAATGATGCATGGTCAAAGATGGAAGTATAGACTATTCTACTAACCTGTCATTCTCTGATCCAAACCCACATCCTATCTTGTCCATTTTAGAGAAAGCTAAAAATCCTTTGAATTTTCTTAAGCAAAGATAAAGAATTCCATGTTCAGAGAGCTAGGTTTTATGTTTTACTTATCAGTTTGAACTAATAAGAACAAGCCCAACACCCTTCCAGACTGAAAGGATTCAACTCCGTAATTCATCAAGATTAAGATTGCCTGGTGAGCTCTTGCTACCCTTCTCAGGACCAGAGGCTTTCTGCAGTTCTCCAGGAGACAGTCTTGTGAATAGTTTTCACAAGCATGAGATATGCACAAACAGCTCATTGTGTTTATTTTCCTCATGTATCCTTCAGATTACTTGTTCCCCCTTCCTTCTTCCATGTTCCCCAGGCATTACCAATTCTGTACAGTAAAAAAAAAAACCTTCTTAAGTGTTTAACCTGTCATTTCCCCAGCACAGAAGAAACTGCCATAAATTGGAGGCTCCATGCAAAAGTTACATGCAGAAGTAGCAGTTTAGACAAGTATCCCCTTTTTATAGCTCTATGCATGATTGTCTAGAGCTACTTGGTAGTAGAGAGATTTTGGAGCAGCTGTATTCTTGGGTGGTGTACACTTCAGTACTAGCCCAACAAGGAGACTCACTGAAGCAACCACACACTTGGCCTGGTCATACCCTCCAATTTGCTCATCTTGGAAATCAGAATGTAAAGAAGAAAACAGGCACACTGGTTTCCTCCTGACCTATACTTTGGATCTAGGCAGAACAAGTATGTTTCAGATTTCACAATTTAGATGTAGGACATCCAAAGATATCGACCTTTCGTTTCGGCAACTCAGCATGTCACAATATTGAAATCAAAGGTGACAAAAGAATTTTCATGAGAACGGGTTTGTCCAGGCTTTTACAACATGGTTTCATTCAGATGGTGCAAGTCTGAGGGAGTTTACTCATTTTACTTGGGTAGAGTGAAGCTAAGGAAAAATCTAGTCTTTTTCTACATTTTTAAAGAACTTACAGAGTTAATCAGTAACTGTGGCTGTAGTCATTGAAATAATACAGAGAAGGGGGGAAATAAAATGCTAAACCAGGGCTTATGAAGTTTTGCCTCCATCAATGCTCTTCACCTATCTCTCATTTATGTAACTCTGTAAAAAAAAAGAAAGTGCCTTGAAACTACACACAGGTTCAATGGATAGAAACATCTCACTAGGAAAGATTTCAGCTTTTGATTATAGTTCCAGAACAAACTACCTGTGTTCTCCAATCACCAAGATTCATAATTATCTACCACATCTTCTGTACAAAATGCTCTTTACCTTGTCCATTTTTAATACATAGATAAGGATATCACAGCTTTTCTCCTCCTTCAGAAGGGTGGTGCACAATCAAAGATTTATTTCATGCCATAAAGAACTGCCTAACACTTCTTTTCCTGATCGCAGTCACATCAGTGACTTCTGTCATGTCCGATTTGTAAGTCAAAGGTATAAGCCATCTTTATGGAGACAATCATTCACACTCTCAGGAAACAAAGAGAAGACACTTTCTAAACTGGTGGTAGTGAGCAAGTGGTAACTTCATCTTGCTTGTCTCAAAGTAGCAAGTTCTTTGATCAGCATTTCAGAAACCAAAATTTATGACCTTCAAGGCTGTAGTTCTTATTCTCCCATCATTGGTGGGGTTATTTTGTTTGGTTTTGTGGTGGGTTTTTGTTGTTGTTGTTTGTTTGGCTCCCCTTCCCTCCGTCACTCCCCCAGAAGTAGTTTTGCATTACTTAAACTTACTGGTTTCCACACACTGTGGGTGTCAGGACAGGTTTCAAAATTTGAACGCCACTCAATTTGAAGTTGGCCACATTTGTGAGCAGGCTACGCTTAGGGGCCAAGACTGCAAGTTAATGCATCACAGTCTGCACAGTTGCTGGGATTTTCCAAACACACTTCACTTCCTTTCCCAAGTACCACGTGACTATCCACAATGGAAGGTAAACTCCTCCTGATACATAACACTATGAAACCATGCATTGTGCAACAGACATTCATAGCATATTTAATTAATTACCCCTCTTACGTAAACTGAGTACAATCATTCTGAAGTCTGTGCAAACTTTATGGACCCAACACATGAATTTCAATTGGAGGGAAGAGTTGAGGAAGAATGTGCACTAGGTTCAAACTGTGCTAGACTGGCAGCCACCAACTTCTATTCATCAGTGAAGACTAAACCCACAAGCAAAGTTTGAAGAGGCTGTTAGTGTTGTTCTTTTTCCAAGTAATTTAAATTTTGAGACCTAAGTATTAATGTTGCCTACAATATCATCAGGGATCTGTATGTCACAATTGCCAATTAGTCAATGCTACAATCTATATGAAACATTGGTTTCAGTGACAGAGTGTGCTTAAGAAGTTCCTGCCCATCTCAAGCCAATTTTTTCCAAACTCACAACTCATTTTCTCATCCCTTCAGCTATGCAAGTCCAGATATTTAGAGTACAGCCACAGCCCAAATCACTGGAGTCTGCCAGCTTAAAAATATCTATATAAACTAAAAGGGGAAGGAAAGCACTTTTAACCAAAAATAATCACTCAGTAGTAGTCTTGTTTACAGAACAACTCCACACAACCAGTTACTTAGATGTTAACTGAGAAGTCAGCAATTTGTGGCACCAAAAGGAATTGCATATTTCCTTCAGGAAAGGAAACTGCAATAAGCCAGCATTACTGCCAACTACAGTCTATCTTAAAACTTGTGACCTTTGTCTTGTAAGCAACGATTTTAGCTTTACAGTTTGGTTGGTTTATACGTAGTTCTAGCTTTTATAGGTTTATAGTACACACTACAATCACATTTTGTGAGATCATACACAAAACCCTAGGTGACCTTTCAATTTATGTTTACTGGGTTTGACTGGGATGGAGCTGCTATGAAGAAAATTAACTCCATCCTAGCCAGACCTCATATATTACACTTCAACAAGTTCCTTTTCCCCTTCCTACTCTCTCTTGCATTCTCTCCAGCTTCCTTGTGCACTTGTTCTGGTGTATGTGATTATATGGTGAATGGGAAACAAAATCCACCTGAAAACTGATCAGATTCCCTTTTTGTGGTTTCGCTTGGCAAGTTTTCAAAGCTGTAGGTTAGTTTCCAAAGGTGAGCCTTGAGTACCAGCATCAACACAGAAAAGTAAGAGACTTTCAGTGGCAGCGTGGTCTAAGACCAACTACATTGGTTGCAAAATTGCACCCTGATGGACACCTCTTATTTGTCCTATGTTTCAATAATATTAATGTAATCTGTAGGCAACATCAAAGAGAAGATTAATAAGCAATTTGATACAATCAGAATTCATAATTAGTTCAGTAAGCAAAGAGTAAACCAATACCAACATGCAATACAATAACAAACTGGAGAAGGGTAAAGAACAAACACAGCAAGCAGAGACGTAACTTAACAGGTAATCAGCCCACTAGAGTTTGCCTTTCTGTTGAGAATACTCTCTCCAGCAGACTCAGTTCACTAAAGTGAAAACTGTTTTGCAGATAAAGTTTAAGCCTCATCTTTATTTAATCAAAACTGGTTCACTTTTTTCAAATTGTAGACAGAAGACAAGCACTTTAAAGGTCTTGAAATAGTCTGGACTATTACTTTAAAGAATAAATCATGCATTTGTTTAGTCACAGTGGCTCAGTTCCAGTTTTGTTTTTACTTCTGAGCATGCTAAGAGACATGGGTGTTCAAGAAAAGGTGCAAAGTTAAGAATAGTAATGGGCTTACAGATCAAATAGTGTTAAGAGACACTAGATATCAGAAACAATGTTCCCAAAAGTACAAATTACCTTTCTGTTATGAAGGCCAGGATGAAGACAATGTAGTGGAATCATTTTTGCAACAATTATTGGAAGCAACATATCAACAAAGTCAAGAAATAATCTAAAATTGTGGTTGAACACTTCTGAACATTTGTTATAAAACCCTGAATACCAAATCTGACCTTTCTTGTATTAACTGCACAAACTTTCTGCGCTACAGTAAATACTACTGTTATTTAGAGCACCTCAGTTCAATGATCAGATTTCTCCTGAACTAACTTGAATGTCCACAAATGCGGAGAAGCATCACCAGGCTACAAACCAAGGCGCTGCAGAAGCTGGGATTCCCATGAGAACATTATTAAGAGAACACAAACAGCAGCTGAGATTTATACAGAGGCAATCTTTAAGAGATTAAACTATGTTGTTATTAAGTATAACAGGACCTTGGGCCAGCCTAAAAGCAGGAGTTCAAAACCACACCAAGCACTGTGTGCCTGGGTTATCTTGACCAGAACACTGGTTGGATGGTATGCATGGTGTGTGACAGGATATCTCGGTCTTGGAACACCTGGCCATAAAGTGGGGGAAATGATGGATGGGAAAGTGCTGTTGTATGTGAACATCCTGATTGGCTGCATAGTCGGGTCCTTCTCTGTAGCTATAAAAGCTGAGGTAGCAAATAAAAACTTCACTTGGCATTCATCTGCTGAGCCGGTTTCTTGTTTTCAGCTCACTGCACACGTAGACAGTAGGTAAGAAACAACCTGTTATAGTAGCTTCGCTGATTCACCATATGAGGTAAACAAGCAGGCGTCCTGCAACACCAAGCCACCATTAGAGATGTGTATCAATGCAAGGACAGCTGAATTAGTGCCTATACCCACCTAAGAGTGCCGTTTTCTCCTTTGTCTAGGCTGGTGAAGCGACTGTACAAGCGGGTGATCTGACTGTGGGAGACTGAGGAAAAAAGAGAAGAAACACAAATTAGCATGTCAGTGACTCCTCATAGGAAAAGACCTCATTTGAGCTACTGTGTTGTCAGAAGCCATGTTCAAAAAAAAGAGATTACACAAAGCAAGTTATATTGGAAGCAAGTAGCAACCAGTTTAGGGACTGTGTGAGCTGTAAATGGCATCTAAAAGTTCAAGAATCCACAAATAAGCCCATTCTTCAAAAAGCTTGTCTAACTGCCTCCTATTTGTTTATATTTTTGGTCTCTAAGATACTTTGGTGATCCAATTCAGTCAATTGCAATTAAAAAAAGAAAAAAAAGAGTCATAGTTAATTGTATTTCACTTAATTCCTTATGGCTAGAAATAATTTGCACACAGGCTCCACTACATCATCCATGACGCTGCAGACCTGTGCTGCAATATCTTTCCTTCTCTTTTGCTTACCTCTACTCCTGTTGTCCTTTTCCATCTAAGGATGGAAAGCGTACTCAGTTTCTCTGCATCTGGAAAGCGGTCAGAGAGAATTTACACCTGATCACTTTTCTTCCTTTACAGGACTGCCTGAATCTAAACAGCTCGTTCATTTTGGGATTCACTGAAGTCACTTCCAGGCTGTCCTGGTTTGGGCTAAATAGAAATAATTTTCTGTTTAGTGATTTTGCTTTTCAGCTCAGTCTCAGCTCTAAGTGGCTGAACTCACTGAAAACTAGTAGCATGTTTTCTCCCAGTCAGTGTGAACTGATAAGCTCAAGGTCAGGAGCTTGTCTCACCGTGGGTTCTGTGTCTGTGCCTACGGGGGTGGGGGGGAAGGGGACCCAAACCTGACCAACGAGGTATTCCATCCCACACACGTCATACTTGGTATAAAGCCAAGGGACCACGAGGGTCTCGACCTTTCTTCCATCTTGGAGCCCTTCCATCGTGGACCCTTCCTACTGTCTCGATCCTGCAATGGCTGAGGTCTGAGCAGAACCCTGTTGGTTTGTCTGCCTCTGATCCTGATCCCTGTGTTCCTGCATCAGCTCCCACTGCTGCTGGGTCCAGACTGGGACTTTTCCAGTGCCCTGCTCTGCAGAGCCTCTGGTGACGTATTCATCATTGTGGGAAGAGTGGGGGCAGG